AGAGAGCAGCGTCCAGAGGTCAACATGTGCCTTTCTGAAAAACGAAGCGGTTGCGAAGAGACGAGAGACACTCACGTGACAGGTGGTGGAGCCTAGCAGAGCGAGAAGGCGGTCAACAAAAAGAGTGAGTGTGAGCGGGAACGGGACGAACTTGCGGAGCGCGCCTGAAGTCGACCTCTCTTTCTTTTGTGCAAATCTGCACAACCTCGGGTTGTTTTTCTTTTTCTTAGTCTCTCGCGAAACCGAGAGGGGAGGGACGTGTCAGTCGGGGAAGTAGAGAGAGAAAGAGGTCAACGAGGCGAGAGACGAGTGTGAGCAAATACGGAATGAGCCTGTAGAGCGCGAGTGACATCAACCGCAGTGCACACGCTCGCACGACGTCCTGCTCCTGCTGCGGTGACATGAAAGGACAAGAGAGAGAGAGCCTGTTTGAATAGCATGAATGGTAGCCATCAGGAGGGTGTGCCTGTGCGGGGCATAGTCAAGGTTGCAACGGGATCTGCTCGCCATGCGTTAATCACAGCTCCTCCGTCATCTTGGGCATAGATCGGCTGCCCGTAGTCGTAGTGCGGGTTGCAGTCGCTAGCTGCCCAGAGTGTAATCGGAGAAAAGCCGAGTTGGGTCCGTGGGCAGGTAATAGCATCAATAGCCCTTTGAAAGTTGACGTCAACCACTAAGGTGTATTCCATGTCGAAAGATGCTTGCAGAGAGATGCTCTTTGGCTGGGAATGAAAGAAAGTAGCTATCCAGAAGCGAGACTTGTCGCCAGGAACACCCGAGTGGGATATTAAATTGAGGCACGGTTGACTCGCAGTGTTCGTGCTTCTGTATACTACTCGGGTTCTTGTGGGCTGATTATCGCGACGTGTGTCAATGCATGCTTGTATTGCCGTGAGCTGTCAGAAAAGGGAGAGGGCAGTTAGCTTGCTTATCGGATGAGCTGTTTGCCCAATGTTGTACTGGCCATTGACTCCACTGGAGGTCACATCTATATCATGTTTTCGTATCTTTGTCAAGATTGTCAAAAGAAGCTCCTCACCTTTCAAGTCGAAGCTCTCCTTTGAGCCAGCTATGAACAGATACTTGCAAGGGGCTCACTGTACCCAAGCTGAAAGCCACCACGGGCCTATCTCTCTTGTGAAACATGTTGCTCCCTTCGAGCTTTTAACTGAACGCGACTTGGTCATTATCATGCTGGTTTCAGGGGTGAGCGATCAGGTCAAGGTTGTACTGGTATCTTGGGTGTTAAGACCGAGGGTGGCTTGATTCCCTGCCAGGCTGAGTGCCGTCTGTTCTTATAGGAACAAAGGAGTCCACTAACGCAGAGCCTGAAAATCTTTGTTGATATTATTCAGAACATCTGAGTTGGATCGATCGATGACAATTGCATTTGATTGGGAGAAGCGTTTAATTACAGATGAGGCTCCTGACCGGTTTTACTTTATTCTCTGCATCTCCATTGATCCTTGCTACCTCTCCCCGCCTTTTCTTGGCTTCCTTTCTTTTATTTCTCTTTTTATTTTTCCTTCATTATTAACAAGTTTAAAATTTTCTCCTTCTGTCTTGACTGCAAGCAATTGCTCTTCATACGAGCTGTCAATCATCTGGAGGCTCGTCTGAGGGGGCGGAAAAATGGAACACTATTTATCCTGTTGGATAGTGCTCCGACAAAAGGGCATTTCGTCACAGCTCTAGTTGCTCTGTTGTTTGCAGCTCACCGCAACCAATCTTGCTGATGCCTTGTTGTGCTACCTCTTATGAACCTTATAAATGATTGATGGGAAAGAAAGGAGCTATCCTGAGAAGGGTGGCATACAAAATGGCCAAGATTCTGCTAGATGGTGACTAGTGGAGCATCTGCCCTGATGCACCCAGAATGTTCAATAAACGGTGAAAAGGTCATGAGAGATACCTATAAGTGACATTTAGTTTCGAAAGCTATCTACTCTACCACAGCCTCTCCCTCATGCTGCAAATCACGCCACACATGAAGAGTCATGTTTTTATCGACCCTCTTTGCGAACCTGTATTGAACGGAATGGCAAATGAGGGTACGTGAGTGAGAAGATTATTGGTTCATTGATGGGGAGATAAAGACTATTGCCTCTCATCTCAAAGATGAGGCGCATTTTGCCAACTTACTTTATTAATTAGAGACAAACCCTCGGCACTACTAAAAATTTGTAGGAGCTTTTTGTTTCTCAGAGGGGCTGTCAGGTCTTTCCTTGACTTGCTATGCAAACTTCTATTCTATTAAGATAAAGGTCAGAGCGTGTCCTTAGCTGACGATAACTACGCTTTATACGACTTCGGCTACGTTCTCGAATCAGAATCGGCGGCAGCGGTAAGAAGAGACAGACGTCCGAATAGACATTACAAGTTCCACCTATACTCCCTATATAGGTGGCTCTTGGACCGCCTAGGCTTAGGGCCTATACCTTGGGTTCTGAAGTTTTCAGGCGGTGTTCAACTATAGATTGGGCTATGACGATACTGTAGCTAGGCCAACATCTGAGGATCGCTCGGCACGTCCACCGAGAGCGGTACAAAGGAAGATGGGTAGTGAGGGGTGAGTCTCCATTAGAAAACGTACCCACTCAAGATCTGCTAATGTCTTTAACTATTTATACTCGCCTTACTCCTCTTAGGCCTATTTTTTTTAAGGGTTAAAACAGTGAAAACATGAGAGATGCGGGATTTTCCAATAGTCAGAATAACATCAAGAGAAGTATGCAGAGAAGGGTAATCGTTAGTAAACTTGACCCTAGTTCAGCACTCTGCAGCCTCTGCCCAACAGTTAATGTTCGGACTGCGAGAAAGTTATCAGACACTTGAACTATTATTAACAGTCTTTGGTCACCGCTCGTCAACCTCCATGTTGGTCAGACAGTTATGAACAATCTGCTGATGATTTTGGTGTCCACGGGACTTTGTACTAAGTTGGTCATCATTACCCATTTCAAAAGGGAAACAGACATACCAGGAGCGAGCACAGGTCAGTCACGACCAGTGCGATGAGATCTAGTAAAAAGATCGGGAAAAGCACGGTGAGAATTACACTTACGCTACATCGGGACAAAATGGAAGGCTGAGAAGAGAGCGCTATCAGAGATACACCATCCCAAATCGAGATGATGAGAGAGCATGCACGGGATTTGGTGAAAGGACAAGGTATCGTTGAGTATACTATTTATTTCTGTGGGTCTGACGGGGAGCTGCATAGCACAATCTCACACATTGAGTTTATTGAGCAGGCAAAGTGAAAGGAAGTCGTTCGTCAATAACTTTGTTTTAGTAATTAGAGTCTCCTGAGAACAAACCTGCCTGCGTGTATTGACCACTCTCGAGTGAGCTATCGCAGACTATCTCGACTGTACAGCAAGGCTAGCCAAGTACTAGCTTCGGTATTATCAGGATCGCCAAGCAACGTGCATTCTTTCCTTCTCCCCTTTTAAAGGATCTTGCCAGCAAATCTAATCAGTAAGTGATACATGGTTCTTGGTACTCAGCACCGTTAACAGTGGACAATACTGAGCACGATTATTAATGCACAACGCTTTGCTTTGTTGGCAGAGATCAGAATTTAACTCTGTCTCCAGTGAACCCAGTGCTATGGTTGTGACCGAGCGGCATACATCTAATTTTCAGACAAAATATCCAACCAGCGGTTAAGTGACTCCCATCTGGTTCTCTAGACAGTCTATCAGTCAGGTTAGTTAACCGGCAAATCCATCATCAACCAGTCAGTTTAATTAATCAACATCTGTCATCTACCAGTCAGGTTAATTGACCGGCAAATCAATCACTTATTAGTCAGCGGGCAATTATTTATCAGCCAGTTAGCAAAACAGAAACCGTCAGCAGACCTCTCAAATTCTCCCTTGCCTCGACTAAAAAAGGAAGTTAATCAGTGGTTAACCGACTTTTGATTGACACTCAACCAATGCTCGGTTAGTGATTATGAGCGACATCCAGTTTTCTCAGTCAGCAATTGATTAGCAACCGATCAACGGTCAATCAGCCAGTGCTCAGACAGTCGTTTAGTCGGCTATCGGATCAACAATCAGTTCAGTAAGCGAATCAGCAATCAGATCAGTCATAAGGGGAACGACAATCAGAAACAACAGTCGAACAACAATCAGAAACAACAGTCAAACATCAATCAGAAACAGCAGTCGAACAATAATCAGGGACAACAGTACTCTTATCAGAAGACAACATCCCGAAAGGACAGTCATCAAGGCAGCAGAAGTCATTTTTCCATGAGTACAGTGGAATCCTTTCGAGTCAGCGAGTCAGTGCTGACCAATCTCAATCAGATTTCATGCAAAGAGGCATTCCGCTATCAGTATGCCAGTGCCTTTGGTTTTAGACAGGGAGATCTGTCAATCTTCGTTGTCCAGACCAGTTTCGTTGATGACACTATCCATGACCTGATGCCCTATCTGAAGAAGGGTAAAGAGGCTCATGAGTATTTTAACGCCGTGTGGATTCCCGCCACGAAGTACCTCGAGCAGAGAGAGAGGGAACTCGATGAGAGTGACACTACGCTGATCCGCAGGTTTGGGCCAAAGCTTTATACTGATTATCCCAGGCCTCCTGTTCCTTCCCTCCTCACAGATGGCACGAGTTGGCTTGATATGATCGGCTTGGCAAGGAGGTATATATTTCCAGCAGTGATCGACATTGAGGCACTGACTGAGCCTACCGAGTATCCCTACTTCGGACGAGGAGTCTTTTCAGTGGACGGATTGCCTACAGTGTGGGAGGAGTTTTGCTCCATGGTTAACTTCCGTGTCATGTACCTCGGATGGTCATACTCAGAGCTTGTTGGCTTCAGGTGGCCTTTTGTCACGAGGCCTCAATCTCAGATTGTACGTGGGCGTGGGTCACAGCACCAGAGATGAACAGTGAAAAAAAAGATTAAAAGAGACAAACCAGAGGGATTAGTGAGGACTCTTGAAGGATGCTGGCCACGCTTGTTTATGTGTACTTTCTAAGATTATTATGAGTTTTCATTCTTCCCTAATTCGTTTGATCCTATCATTGTTCGAGTCATTCGGTATTACCTTGTGCATTGTTCTTGCTTGATGACCGATTTCTTGGATGACATTGTCGCAGTTCTCAAAATCAGATTGACATAATTGATGCATGTTGAGCGCTCCATAATTTTATGAATCTTATTTGCATGATTCTCTGCTGTTCCGAATCAAAATAAATGATTCCTAAGATCGGGGACCGGCGAAGACCGTAATTGAAGGGTCTCGCTCGAAGCCGGACGCACACAACAAGAAGGGATTTGCTTTATTTAATTTATTTTATTTATTGCAATCACATACAAAATCCTGCGTGACAGCCTGTTAGCTTTCTGGTCACCCGCAGTGGCCCGATTGGAAAAAGTGCGACAACGCGCCCACAGACTGGAGAGCTGAAGCACCCGAATGTCATGGCAGCTCCCTGGGTAACCGACGAGAACGTCCGTGATGCGCAAATCCAGGTCCACCACCACCTGCGCTACAACGGAGAAACGATGCTTCCGGTCGAAGTAGTTTTCCGAAGGAGCGTTCGCCGGTTTGTCGACGTAAACGTGCGTGCAGTTTATGCAGCCATAGCAGTTGGGAAAGCCCTTCGCCTCGAAGGCACGCAGAACGAGCGTACGACGCATCCCGGTAGGCCAAACGATCTTGTCACTGTACACCCTCAGGAGAGCCCTCGTAACGTCCTCCACTGCGATCAACCCGGATGCGCGCCCTATTCCGAATGCCGACGTGCTGCTCTCGTACGTCTCCCCGCTCGCCCATCGGTACAACGCATATGCGATGATGTGATCCGGCTGCAAAGGAACCCTGTAGAATGTCACCCGCCGCTGCAGAAGAGGGGACAGTGCCTCCACGATCTCCATGAACACCGTGGGGGACATCCTCAACTTTTCCTTGTAGTACTCGTCTGAGGCGTCGTCCATCTTCCACAGATCCTCCCACGTGCCACCCGTCCTTTTCCTCATCCACCACCTTGGAGTCGACCGCGGTATCACCCCAGATGACATGGCGGCGCACAACTGGATAATGGATTCGGACATGGACATGCAGTCTGGCGCTGCCATCACGTGCTGGAGGAGCTCACGCTGCCTGCGAATAGACACTCTCGTCCTCAACCGCGCCGTCGTTCTCTCGATGCGACATCGCATGGCCACCGCCGACACTGCTGCAACCACCGCATTTCTCTCCACCCTGCTCTAGGTCTTGCCACGAACCTCCTGCGACACGTGTTCCATCACGATGCTCCGACGGCGCCTTGTTGAACACACACAACAACTGGACCCTCGTCGCACACTGTCCCAGCGGACGTTGGAGTGGTCGACGACAGCTCCTCGTACACGAATCACGGGCGCGCGAAACTATGGCGAGCCATTGGATCGTCATGGTCATCAGGAAGAGGAAAGTGGGACACGCACCACTTCACGCGCTCCAACGTCGTCACCTTTCGCGCCGCGCCGGCTGACGATCGGATGAACGAGTCGCCAACAGCGATGGGCGCCGCAAATCGTCCACGCACACGTTTCGCACTGGTAGCTCCAGGGGTGGTAACGCCACGGCGCGCCGGTGCGTATGTCATGTCAGTTTGAAATTCAAATTTCGAAAAGGAACCTTCGCGCTTCTTTTCGCAGCGCAACATCGCAGGCCTCCTTGCGCCGCCAGTGGACCACGCCTGACGACGGACGGACATCCCTCGACGACGACGGACATCCTCCCCCGCGGCCTCGTATATGCGTATGAAATTGGCCGCGGGATACCTCCAAGGTTTTTCCTTGGGACCCTTTCGTTTATGACGCGGTGTAACGACGCCGCCGAATTCCTTGAAATTTTCCAAGGACTTCGTCCTAATTCCTGAGGATTTTTCAAGGAGGGTCTAACGAGGCCCTTGCTCGACTGAACGTGCGCTGACAGTTTATTGCCAGGCTGGCGACGCCGCTGCCTAAGGACAGCGATGGCAGCGAGAGAGTGTAACTTACCTGAGTAGCTATGTGCGCGCTGGCTATATGTACAACTGGCGTGTGCTCTTATGAGCTTGTTCTACTGCTC